TGTTGTCAAAGTCGGCATAAGAAGTTAGTTTGTGAGGCACCTAGACCTGCCCTGTGTAGCATTCTTAAATATAATAATGTGGTTTTCTGTAAGGATGCACAGGGAAGTAAGCAAACAGCCTCATCAGACAAAAAACTGCACTGCAGAGAAGAAAGGAAGAGATTTTGACAACACCAGGAATCAACAGCATCCTTTGTAATTCTGTAATTGCTCTGCTCACCGGCACACCGCGGAGGACTGAACACTTACCTCATTTCTGCCTCTCAGCCTCCTCTTCCTTTTCCCTCCAGACCCTCTGTTTTTCTTGTTGCTTTGACTGCTGTGTGACCCCATCCTATGACCGTTCTTTGTGGATTTGTACATCACTGTTTCTACAACAGCACCTGGCCTCTGGATTCTCTCAGAATGTCTTCCCAAGTATCCCAGATAGAGATGGGCGGGTCAGTCTGGCTTCACCCATGAGTAGTAAGAGTGACTGACAAGAGACCTCACTTCAGAGGCTTATGACTTCCCCCAGTTTTCTCGCTTTGAATCAAGTACCAGGCCCTGGATTATTTGGTTTGCCATGGTCAACCACAATTTGCAACAGGGTGCCAAGTGTGATGGCGCATACCAGAGGCAGGTGGATCTCTGTGAGTTAGAGACAATCCTACTCTACCCAGCGAGTTCCAAACCAGCCAAAGCAGCATACTTAGATGCTGTCTCAAAACAAACAACAAAAACCAATTTACAAAATGAAAGGGACTTTAAATGGGACTGAAATCACAAGCGTTCTAAAGGAAGAAGTGACAGCCCAAAGTGTATAAGTCTGACTGGCAAAAATGGTGAGATTTTTGAAAAGATGCTTTTAATATGTCTATCATGAAAATCTTAAGATTATATAAATAACAGAATTATTTCCTAAGGTAGTTCCACTAACAAAAGTACAGCTATGAAATCTACCAATAGCTCAGGGGAAATACAAGCATATTTATTGTCTTTCCACTGTCCTTGGAAAGACATAGCCTTTAAAAGAAATTATTGAGCACAACTGTAGAGCTGTACACGGTATTTTATTCGTCTGATTGTTCTGTATTTGTAAGCTTTTATTGAGAATGTATGTGAGACTGTTAAGCTTCCACAATTATCTTTTAGATTTTAGGAGAGATAGGCTTGTGTGCTTCCTTTTGAATGTTTTAGCATCTTATTATTCATGGAGTAACAGACACTCAATAAATGACATTGCCTAATTACTCAGCCCTGATGTCAACTGTAAAGAATAGTACAAATTGAGAAATCGTTTCTGTGAGCACAGAGTCAAGGAGAAGCAAATGCTTTTTTGCATATCGTATGCTTCAATTCCTTCCTTTCTGGGTCAGGACAATGGATTGCTATTGCGCAATTTTGTGTCCTTCCTTTGTTTCTACTTACTGTGTTAGCTCTGCTCTGCACCAGTGCAAATCCAAGTCTGGTTTGCTTTCCATTCCTCTTGTGAGGGTTTCAGTCACTGCATTTGAAGACCTAATCAACCTCTGGTTTAGCCCAATTTTAATCCCTCCTCTTAGAATGGCAAGTTATCCAATTAAATATATAAAAGGCTACAGAACAAAATAAAAGGCCTGTGAAGAGGGAGGATCAGTCCTTTCATGGACTTTCCTGGTGACAGTTAAATGTTAGAAGGGACCTTCTTTTCTTCTGAGTGTGCGCTAACACTGAGTCTGGAGAGACTGAATGTCTTTGTCCCCATGGTCCCACAGCTGGCTGTGGCAATACTGTAGAATAGCAGGTACTGCTGTGTTTTCAAATATCTGTGATGTCATAAATCTGGAATAACAAATTGATTTTATGTATGACTTGTGGATCCAGTAGCATGATTATGCTATGCATACACACACCCTTTCATATATATATGTATATAATCTTACAGCTTGATATACTATGGCAGATTATTTCACCCTAAGGTGATCAACACTGGAGCCCATCGACATATGGTTGCTTCCCTGTACTTTGCAGGACACTGAAGAAGGCACTCGTGCTGTTCCATTCAGGAAATCTGATCACATTATTATCTTCTTCTTTTCTAACTTTAACTCAAGCTAGTTTTCTAACTTGAGAACCCATCAAGGGATGAGAAAACCATGTTGGGAAACATGTAGCAATTAATGAAATACCAGCAACTAAGCAAATAACATCTGATCTTCCCATGGGGAAAAGGGTAAGAAAAGCTAATAGGTTGGTTGGTAGGTAGGTGGGTAGGTGAGTGGGGTAGGTGGATGGATAGATAGATAGATAGATAGATAGATAGATAGATAGATAGATAGATAGATAGACAGACAGATAGATAATACTTATGGGGATTATGTGATACTGTACATTGTATAAATGATAATCCTTCCTTCAAGGCAGTGTCTTATGTAGCCAGCAGATCTCAAACTTATTAGGTAACCAGGCATGGCTTTGAACTCCTAGCCCTCCTACCTGTACCTCTTGAGTGCTGAGATTACCGGTATGTGTCACCATGCCTGGTTTGGATAATTTTTGACAAAGCAGCACCCTTGCTGTGGGAAAGCTATAAGCTGTTTTAAGCCATTATGAGTATATATCACTAGTTTCCATTCAGATTCAAAGCCAGAACAATAACTATAACATGTTTTTGTTTTATATGAGTAGCATATTTCAAAGCTCTTGAAATTTTAAAGCATATTTGGAAATTCACAAGAATGAAGATTTTAGCAAAATGCGGCGCACTTGATGGAGGGTGGGTGTCAAAACAGGTAAAACTGGGATACAATCTCAAGGGGTTTTGTGGAATTCTTATAACTGTTCTTTCCGCGAAGCTCATTGGTTTCTATCGTCTGTGATATGAACACAATTGGCTTTCAATATAGACTAACATTTATGAACACACAACTACATGTCATTTGTCAGGCACTGTGCTGCGTGCAAAGACACAGACCATGCTTTTAGAATCCTACCATGAATCCTGTGAGAAACTGTGATCCTGGTTTTTTTGGCTGAGTAAAGATGACCTCAACAGAAGCAACCTCATCCATGCATGTGTGACCAATCAGTTGGCATCATAGGCAGGAGGAGTCCAGTTACCTAGCCTCAAGTCTATTGCCCCTTCCAATAAAGTTAATCTATACAGGAAAATCCTTGAAAACCTTACCCTGTAGACACATTTTCTGCTTACTGGAAGATCCAGTCTGATACCTGAAGGGAGACATTCTGTTACAGACTCATTAGAGTGAGGTGGTGGAATGTGAAAATTCCCGCCCTCAGGCTTTGGAGCCAGGCCAGTGTGGGCATGCGAGCTGGATCCTTGGCTATAATGTCCTGACTCTGAGTCAAGCTTTATTTTGGCTTGAAATGCTGAGCTTCAGTCTCCTCATCTACCAAACCAATATGGTTTGAAGATAAATGTTAAAGGGTTCTGGCAAAATTGGAGCACTGTGAAGAGGGGAAATGGTTAGCCCAAATCACCAGGAGATAGTATATAGATTCTTGGTAGCTTGTTACTAGGAACATGAGTGAGGATGAAGAATACGATGGAAAATAGTTAAGGGAAGATGTCCATTATTGTGTTCAGGGACATGCATAGACTCTGCTTTGAATCTAACTGAAGATCTTTTGTGATAACTAACTCTTGAATAGTATCAACAATACATGATACTTTGCAAAAGCATGTTTATGTTTATTTGTTTTATATGTGTATTTTCCCTGAATTTGTATGTATATGAAGCATGCTCATGCCTAGTGGCCAAGGCAGTCGGAAGAAGACATCAGATCTCCTGCAAGTGGAGTTGTGGATAGTTGTGACCCACTATGTTGCTGCTGGGGACTGAGCCTGGTTCTCTGCATAAGTAATAAGTGCTCTTAATTGACACATTGTCTCTCAAGCTCCTTATGTGATGCTTTACATGGTCCCATAAAATACAGAACCAGATGAAAACATTTTCATATCATGTCATATTTGATGACTGTTACTATAAGGCAGTGACTTCAATAAACATGAATTGAGGAACCCTTAACTTTTTAAAAACTCTGTATATAAATAGTTATAACCCAGGACTGGTAACACAGGACTATAATCCTAACAATTTTGGAGGCTAAGTCAAGAAGATTGTGAGCTCAGACCGGGCTACATGTTGAGTTCAAGTTCAGTCCAGGCACCTAGTGAGAGGCTATCTCAAAATAAAATCTCAAAGGTCTAATGAGATGGATCACTGAAGGAGTGCTTTTCTATTGTGTGAGAGGCCCTGTGTTTAATTTTCAGTCCTTAAAATAGTAATTATTACGCATAGACTTTGAATCATAAAACTTTTTTGTTCAATGTTTATGGGACAACTGGTTTTATTTAAAAATATTATTGATCTCTAACATGAGAATAGGTAGAATCCATCTCCACTTAACATATGTATACACAAATACATATTTATTAAAATCTGATTATAATACACAAAAGATTTTCAAACTCCTGGCATAACTGTAGGGTTTCTTTTTCTTTCCTGTACTTATTTCAAAATACTATTTCATACTTCTTGGTTAAAAAGCATTGAAGTATTTCGAGTGATAACCTTGAATATTTGTCTGTGTAAACAAAATAGGAAGGACCTTGTACAAAAATATGAACTCAAAGTTTCCAGATCTAATATTTTGTAAGAATGAAATAGATAAATATAGGAATGACTCATTACTTTAGGATGAACTGAAGTTCTGTTGTTGAGAACTGACTTATGAAGATAATCAATATATATCATATATCATTCATATATATATTATAATATGATTAAATAGGTTCCAAGAAGGAAAATTTATATTTGTAAGCATAAAGAAATAATGCATGTGTTCTGTTTATGTCTGTCCTAATTTACGTAGCGATCACTCTCTTAATTAATCACCAGCCTTTTAGACTAAGCGCTGAATTTTAATGCTCTAATCTTCAAATCCAAAGACTATGATCTGTCTTGTAACAAAAACATCCCAGTTCAAATTGTAATCTCATTTTTATCTCTGCTCAGATGATGAACCATGCTTGGAATAATTATAAACGTTATGCCTGGGGCTTAAACGAACTGAAACCTATATCCAAAGAAGGCCATTCAAGCAGTTTATTCGGTGAGTATGATGTGCTTTGATTCGAGGATGTGTTGTGGCTGTTGTTTTGGTTTTTGAGACACTTTCTCCCTCTCTTAGCCCCGGCTGGCTTAGAACTGAGCACATAACCCTGGTTGACTTTGAATTCACAACCCTGCTCCCGACTTCGCCTTCTGTCACAGTTTCCTTTCTGTGGCAGTGAGGAAATACCACGACCAAGGCAATTTATGGAAGAAAGTATTTAAGGGGGCTTACAACTTCAGACGGTGGTCCGTGATCAGGTCCAGCATCAGGGTGCGGAGCATGGCAGCAGACAGCAGGCATGGCTCTGGAACAGTAACTGAGAGCTAATATTCTTTTACACAAGCAGGAGACAGAGAAAGGCTTACTAGTAATAGCATGAGTTTGGAAACCTCAAAGCCCACCTCTAGTGACAGGCATACCTCATAATCCTTCCCACACACCTCCACCAACAGGGGTCCATGTTTGCAAATATGTGAGTCAATGGGAGAGCATTGTCATTCCACCTAGCACACCTTGCCAGAAATTAGAGTTATGAACCACCACTGCTGGCTTTTTATCAAGAGTGTCTTTTCAGTAAGTTCCCTGAACTTGCTGCTGGTCAGAAAGCTAGTGGGGAATCTCTGATTCTGCAGGCCCCACCATGTTGCTAGGAAACCTGAACCCCTGCTGGAACTGTGGAAAGATTGCACTTAAAGTATGTCCCAGAAAGAACACCAGCTTTGTGTCGGAGAGACCTGTGTAACTTGTAAAACATCCTCATGCCCAGGGCTGACTTCCAGGGATGGAGTGCACAGCAGGGTTTCAAGGTCTAGGGTGATTCCTGTAGACGAGTATTTAGTTACCTGCATTAAGGGCTTCTTGCCGCATAAAAGTTCTGTCTTTATAGATAAGCTTGCTGAGGCACTGGGCCGTGGCGATCCCTTCCGTAACTCAGTTTTGCCTGTAGCTTTCCACTGTTCTGTGGAAGACAAGGCAAGCCGATTAGGCCAGCTGTTTGAGCGTCCATCTATCTGCTTTTTTGCCGTATTGCACTTGGTGTTCACAGGAACACTCTGATTGGCACTGTTTGCATTAATAATGTGCCTATTGTGGAAGGAAGGAAACCACCAGAAATGTTTGATGGTGGTTTTGTTTGAACAAAGGCCTCCTCAGGGCCACCTCCTGGGCTCGGTTTCTTTTCAGGCTCTCAGAAAGGTAACTGTAAGTAATAGGGAAATGGAAAAGAAGAACTCTGGGACTGCCAAGCTCACCAGCATGCCTTTCCATACTCTAACAGGATGTCTTAAATGGTACCAGCTCATATAACAAGTAACAATTTCTGGTGACGTTTATGGAGCAATTATTGTACAGAACCACTCTGCTACATGTCACTCGATCTCATTTTTCTGTACATTTTTGGTGAGGAAATTAGAGCAACAGAGAACTTTCTCAGAGATGGCGCAGTGGGACAGGAACTAAGCATGACTGACACCATGTTCCTCCTTTTCTGTGTCTTAAGGATTTTCATCAATTTAGCTACAGTTCTGTCACTCAAGGGCATAATCCAAGTTGTGGCAAGAGTTGATGGGCTAGTGTAGCCAGCCCGCATGTGCACACTGACTTTCAAAGCATGAAGTGGTTCAGCAGATACATGGAGGTCCCGGAGCCTTTGGGATCTCATGTAGGGAGAAGGACATTACACAGAAGAGTGGAAGAGACTGCTCTGTCACCATAATGATTCAGTTCGGAGACAGGGAACAGAAGCTGGGAGTGCCTGCAGCAGAAGTGACCTCAGATGTCACTAAAGTAGTATCAGGACTGTGACCAGGTCCCAGGACAGAGGAGAGGTACAAGTTTAGAGAGAAACTAAAATTTCATGGTGAGTCAGAAGGCCTTCCCTTTTCATTGTTTACTATTATAACTAAAAAAAAAAAAAAACAAAAAAACAAAAAACCAAAAAACAAAACCCTGAATCTGAGCTGGGTAGATGACTCAGCGGTTGAGTGCACTGGCTGCTCGTGGAGAGGGCCTTGATTTGATTTCCAGCACCTCCATGACAGCTCACAATTGTCTATGAACTCTAGTTCCAGAAGGTCTGATGTCCCCTTCTGGCCACACAGCAACTGCACATATGTGATTGGAAAATGCACACAAAGGCAAACCACATACGGAATAAATAAAAAATAAATTTTTAAAAGTAATTACCCATTATTTACTTTCCTCTTAGTGAAAGTTGATCAGAGAACTCAATTATGTGTTAATCATCCTTGAATAAATCACTTGATTTCTGTTAATAGATCAATGGTCATAATAATAAACTTTAAGGACATTTCAGATTTTTTTTGTTTTTACAATTTTCACTGGATTTATCAGTAAAAACAATGTTATGAACCATTACATGGGGGCCTCAAATATCAATATGGCAGAATGAACTGCTAATCAAATGGTATCTATTTCCATTTTCAAATTCGAATGGGCTATAGAACATTTTCTTATACAATAAAATCAACAGCTGGGACTTACTGCAAAAGTGAAAAGTCCTTATTTTAGAAGGTGAGGAAAACTTTTAATTGTCTTATTTAGATGCATCTGAGCCAAATGCTTTGTCTGCAAGAAGTATGTCAACCTGCGTATTCTTTCAGCAAACCATAAATGACAGGAATATTTCTTGCCCTTCCTGCCTACTTTTTCAGAGTGGTTATTGGTTTGTAGTGGCTTATTCAGAGTTTGGTCCCTCACAGCAACCTGTCAAGAGACAATCAGCTCTGTGAACCTCATTTTTCCAGTCATTAACATCTGGGGAGACCTTCGACACTGGTGTTTTTTCTCAAGGCTCCCTCTTTCCAGTTACTCGAAAGTCACCTGTGAGCCAGGGAAAGGAAAACTGGTTCCTTCCCTAACTTGAAAACGATGCTAATGAACATGAGAAATGACCTGGGAGTTGCCACCTCCCAGTTCCACTGTAAAAAAGAAAGCAGAGCTAGTGTTTTGACAAAATTGCTCCTCAAAGAGGACCATTTGTGTTTGATCTGGTATATTCAGTATAAAGTATAACAGCAACAACAACAGAAGCTCATAATGACTGAATTAGAAATACATGATCATATGAATCTATTATCATGTTTCAGAATGTGACCTTAAAGCATCCTTTTTTAATGTTTCCCTTGATTCCATAGTTTTGTTTCCCCCCAAAATTGTATTTTCCAGAAGATTGAGTTATAATAAAGTATAACGCTAAATGTTTTCTAACTTTCATGTTTTATCATTATGTAAGATTTAACTTTAGTCTGTTTTAGAAAGTTAAGTATTTTAATGTTAGAAGGGAAAGGGCACCTTGTTTGTCCCAGCTCTCTGGCTAGCTAACACCCCAAATAACCACACCAAAACCGTATTAATTAAAACACTGCTTGACCATTAGCTCTAACTTCTTATTCACTAACTCTTCCATATTAGCTTAACCTAATTCCATTAATCTGTGTATCACCATGTGGCTGTGGTTTACCAGAGATTCTAACTGGTGTCAGGCAGAGGATCCATGGCTTCTCTGACTCTGCCCTTCTTCCTCCCAGCATTCAGTTCTTTTTACCCCGCCTACCTCAGTTCTGCCCTATCAAAAGGTCAAGGCAGTTTCTTTATTCATTAACCAATGAAAGCAACACATAAACAGAAGGACCTCCTACATGATTTTAATATTGTATTACTTCTGGTTTTCTAATGATAGTTTGTCAATTGTTACTTGAACACTGTGTGCACTGAAGTATGTTCCATTTTTATTTATGGATCTGTACTGAATAAATGTAGTACTCAGTCTTTCAACATTCACTTATTGAATTCCATTACTACAGTCATGGAGGGTGCCATGGAGAATGTGGGATGAAGAAAACATAATCTCTCTCCTAAGATGGTTTGTAGTCTCAAGGATGATGGAACATGATGCGTTCCTGAGGATGCAATGAGAGCTTAAAAGATACAGAACCAGGGCCCGATGAGGATGAGAAGGACATTGGTATCAGTCACAGTGTTATAGGCACTGGGGATTTCAGGTCAGAGTACAGAACACCTCCTACTTACCCATGCTTTTGTTTCCTGGATTTTAATCACTGGTGATCAACCGTAGGCTGAAAATATTAAGAAGATTCTAAAAAATAAGAATTCTTACGCTTTAACCAGTATACAATCCTGAACAGTGTCCCGAACTTGTGACCGCCTCCAGCTCATTCCTGGCCTGGATGGACACATTTATCCACAGTACATGCTACCCACCTTTCAGGCATTTGGTAGCCATTTTGCTTCATCTATCTTTGCATTTTATTCTTTATACCCACGTCACCCTATTTTACTAATGGTCCAAAAGTACAAGAGTACCATGCTGACAATTTGGGTGTGCCCAAAAGAAGCCGAGTAGTATTTTTCTTTTTAACGATGAAAGTTAAATTCAGCTTAATACAGAAGGTATTCAGCTTAATACAGAAGGGGCGCAGGAATCCGATGCTGAGGTTGCTAAGAGCCACAGTCAAGATGAGTCTTCTGTCCGTGGAACTGGGAAGAAAGAAAAAGGAATCTGCATTGCTTGTGTTGTTCCACACCAAACTGCAGAAGTTATGGTCCCGGTGCTCTAAGTGTTAAAGTGGAGAAGGCATTAGCTGTATTTATGCTCAGGGAAAACATGGTATCTACGAGGTTCAGCACTATCTGCTGCTGCAGCATCTCCCAGGGTTCTGGGAACACATTGTCTGCAGATAAAGGGTGACTCCTGCAATGATTTAAAAGAGCTCGCCTGGTGATAATCCTACATCTAGCAAACTTCACACCCGTGCATTCCAGTGCAACTATACAAGAATTAATGACAACTGCCTCTTTGCTTCAGGCTTATTTTTCTTTTTCATTCTAGAGAATGCAGTCACAGATGAAGTTTCCCAGAGGTTTAGTTTTTACAGCTTGGAGCAAATGTTAAGGATCAGTGTTCATAGCCTAGAGCCTAGGAAAAAATTTGTTTTGGCATGCTGTATATCTTACATTTTATTTTTTGAAAGAAATTAATACTCTACTCAGTATTACTGTTTGTCAATGAGTTGAGAATTACTCTCAGATTTTTTTTAGGTGTGGTCAGTTTGCATATATATCTCAAAAATATTGAAAAGCTATTTTTGGTATTTTTCAGGTAACATCAAAGGAGCAACGATAGTAGACGCCCTGGATACACTTTTCATCATGGGAATGAAGACCGAATTTCAAGAAGCTAAATCATGGATTAAAAAATATTTAGATTTCAATGTGGTAAGTTAAATTGAAGTTGCTCATTGAGCCCTTAACATTTAGCCTATCCATACTCTGTAGGGGATACATTTGTTATAATCTGTGCCAGTAGACATAAGCTTAACTTTTTAGTGTGTGTGTGTGTGTGTGTGTGTGTGATGCCATTGGCTGTAATTCCTCTGACATCATCCATCTCATCTTCCTTAGCTTTGAGACAGGGTTCCTAGCTTTCCAGCACTGGGATTAGACGTGCATACTACCACACGCAGCTTTTTGACGTGGCTTCTGGGGATCAAACTCAGGTCCTCTGCTTGAGAAGCATGCACTTTGCCGAGTCATCTCTCCTGCTCCAAATGCTGCAGTTTTGAATAGTAAAAGACGCCCATGCTCTGTCCTTCTCAGTCACTGTACATGCAATGTGTCCTTTTGTCAAATTAGGGGTCTATCAAAAGAAACATATTTAAAGTAGTCTGCATTATCCATCTTCCTGTTTGAATTACCACAGCAACACAATGAGATGGATACTGAAGCCTCGAAGGCTTATTCCAGAGCATAATATTGGCTGTACGTTGGAGCTGTGACTCTGTCACAGGGTCATGTCCCCAGTACTTAATCGTGACATTGTACAAGGCACACAGCATTGGCAGCCTCTGTCACTTAACTAAGGTTTCCAACTTCATTGTTCTTATACTCCTATTCATAAAGGAGAAAAGAAAAAAATCACCTCCATCTAGATCTCTGAGCGTAAATAACAGTCTTCAGCTTTTAGTATATGTACATTCTTGGCAAATAACCTGAGACCAAGTGTGTTGTGAGGGAGCAGAGCAATAGAGGGAGGCAGATCCAGTTTTTGATTACCATGGTCGGGGAGAACTGTGTCTCCTTGGATCTAACTGGACAGTCTTTGTTTTGTCCCATGGGGATGTTGGCAAGGAACTTATTATTATTCTAAGAAAAGGTAGCATGTTGGCCCCAACTCTTTAAACGTCCTAACTTAGGGCTACACTATTGGTATTCTTTTAAATCTCAGATAACTTTGCAGAAATCTTTGTAAGCCTTTTGTCTAGCTGGAAAGTGTTCAGCAGCACCTGGGGATCCTCGCAGCCAAGGTAGAAGACGCTTACTACATGTTGAGATGGGATGGAGGAGGAGGGTGCTCCTGCCAGCCCGGCTGTGTCGTCATTCCTCTGTTCCCATGAAGAGTGGGCATCAGAGCTAGCCAGAGCACTTAAGATTAGTAAAGCAAGTCCTTGTCTATCACTTTGACTTTAAACCATATATTCATTACAATATTCCAACACTACATAACTGTGGAGATCAGTGCATTAAGCTCTTATTTTATTTTTAATTTTTTAGGTTTATTTTCATGTGCATGGATGTCTCACTTACATGTATACATGTCTATGTACTAAACATGTACCTGGTGCCCCAGGGATGCTTAAAAGAGGGAGTTGGATCCCTTGGAACTAGAGTTGCAGATGGCTCTGATTGACCGTATGGGGGAGAGGAATTAATCCTAGGGCCTCTACGAAAGCAAGTTGGTCTCCAGTCCCAGGCTCTTTCATTTTAAATGTAGAGAAAAATGAGTATAAAGCTGGTGGTATAAAGCTACTGGATGGTGTGTAACGTGGCAGTTCTGATAATACTACTAGAACTAAAACATGAAACATTAGAGTAGAAAATTTTCTCCTTTTATAAGTTTATTCCCTTAGGAATACTGAGTAAGTCTTGTTTGTCTCCATGTGTCTCAAATTTCTGTTTATTTCTCTCTCTCTCTCTCTCTCTCTCTCTCTCTCTGTCTCTCTCTGTGTGTGTATTTATGTGTATGTATGTGTGTGTGTATGTGGTGTTGTGGTAGATGTTGTATATATGTGAAGAGACACACAACACACATGATAATCTACAACAAGACATTGGATGTCTTTCTTTATCACTTCCCAACTATTGCCTCAAGACAGGAACACTTGTTGTACTGGACGCTTGCCATTTTAGTTAGGCTGCCTGATAGCAAACTCCTGTGTTCCTGCTCCCAGCCTATCCCCCACACCAGGCACTCTGGTAACAGATGTATGCATCCATGCTCAATTTTTAATATGGATGCTTGGAATTTGAACTCAGGCCCTCATGCATCCAGAGCAAGTTCTTACCCACTGAGTCATCTCCTTAGCTATTCACAGCATGAGAAGACTTGAAACATTTACTGTGCTTCTTTCTACCAACAAATATTACCGTATTTCCCCATAAAAAATTATATTAAGGTTGAAAGGATAGCTCAGTTTGTAGAGTGCTTACCTAGCATGCACAAAATCTGAGGTTCAATCCCCAGTACAGTATAAAAACTGGGTTGTCAGGAACCACCTTTCTGGGATGACTTCTATCTTGATCCTATCGTGGCAGGCATTCCAGGGTAGGGCGTGAGGATTAGAAAAGTTAGGTAGGAGGAACAGAGATAAGAAAGAAGCCCAGAAACATAGGATAGTATCGGGAGGGCAACTTAGCATATCCAGAATGCTGAATTCACCCACATTTATATAAACTTTTATACTCCACTACAAAGTGGGTGGGGAGAAGGCAAAGGACTGCTTTAATATGATACAAAGGACAACCAGAACAGTTACTTGCCCCAATACTTGAGACATCAAGTCATTATTTCTTGAGGAAAGCATTCTGTTGTTTAGTCAGTGAACCCACCCTAGACCAAGTATCCTGAAGGCAACCACTCCCTAGGTCAAACTTCCTATTTCAAAAGAAGGAACTTGAATTCTCTGACCTTTGGTCAGGGTGGAGTGGCTGCACCACTGTGGACCATCAGTGTCCAAAACACCAAGTAACCACACCCTAGGTCAGGGAGTATAGTCACAGTTGCTGTCAACTACTCAGGCTGTCTGACCTTCAGACAAGGTGGAACAGGCTCACAGTGTTGGGCTTCCACACTGGGTATGGTGGCACAGGCCTGCTAATTCTAGTATTCAGGAGGTAGAGGCAGGAGGAACAGAGTTTTTAGGTAAGCCTCAGGTATATACAAAGTTCAAGTCAACTTGGGCTACATGAGATCTCTTTGTTTTAACACACATATCAATAATCGAGAGTCAGAACTTCTCATATTAAAAAGAGTAATGCATAAGTTCAAGAAAGATATTTTTTCTTCTTTTCTTTGCACGATACAGATCTTTAGCTCAGTGTTTATTAGTAAATTTTCTAACACATGTGAGAATTTATCTTACATTTTCACACTCAACACACAGCTTCAAGTGAATTTTTCAACGACTGCTTGACTTTTCCTTCAGATTAAGAAAAAGACTGAGAATTTATTTTTGCATTCATGTTAGGGGAGAACAATAAGCCTTACCTAAAATGTTTTTCCCTTTTAGGGATAGCATGTAATGTTGTAGCCTAGAGGACACACCATTGATATAGAAATGAATACATTGGTATGGATCTTGGTCTATTGATACAAATTTAAGGTCAATTTTGTTATATGTATATTTCTACTTTTGTTTAAGGTATTGTGTTTGTGAAGCTCATTTAAAAATGTAATTCATATTTAAGAAATACAAATTAACAGGTAGTTATCTATAATAGTCAAATTGTAGTCATGTTAGTTAGGTTTTCTAGATGTATAAAGATATATCTCAGATGGATAGTCATGCTTCAAATCTTTCAAAGACCTGCAGAATATGGCATTTGAAATGTTTTAAGAACTTAGACTTTTCTCAACAATGAGACACATCTGCTCTGGCAGCACCAATTATTTCACAAAGATGATGGGCATTAAAGAAGCTTCTTATGGAGTTTGCTAGCCATTTGGGCAAGAAACTGCTCTTGCCTGGACTGCTTGATGGTATGCTGTATGAACTGGACATGCAGGACCCACAGAAAAATGACTGTTGACAGTCCTTCAGGGTTCCTGCTTCATGAAAGAGTCTGCCAGACATTCTGCAGGACACAGAAGAAAGTGACTGACAAACTGCCAATATAGGTGAAACAGTCTTTGAAATTTTCTGCTTCATGAAACAGTCTGCCGGATACTATGGGCCTATAGGCTGAAGATGGGTGCCCAGCATGTATGGCAGAAGAACTTTGGGAGACTGTCCAGGCAGCAAGATGTCTGTCAATTCTAGATCTTTGAAATTTGCTTACAGTGTACTTCCTGTTTACTTAAGTAATATTATATCCTTCTGGGGTCTTTGTTGGAGTTGAAGACATTTGTAGTTTTCCTTAGTTATGATAAAAGATAAATTAAAAATAAATATCATAACTGTAATTCTTGCTTGAGAACTGTTTTGTTATATGTAATTTTACTATGTAGAGTTAAAAACCTTCCTTTTTACTTAGACAGAAAAAGGGAGATGATGTGGGATTCCCTCTGAATGTTGTGAATATGCACTACCATTGGTTAATAAAGAAGCTGTTTTGGTCTATGGCAGGGCAGAATAGAGCTAGGTGGGGGAAACTAAACTGAATGCTGGGAGAAAGAAGGCAGAGTCAGTGAGATGCCATGTAGCTGACAAAGGAGACAGAAGCTGGAACCTTACTAGTAGGCCACATCTTCATTGTAAAATATAAAATAATAGAAATGGGTTAATTTAAGATGTAAGAGTTAGTTAATAAGAAGTCTGATCTAGGAGGCTGGAGAGATGGCTCAGCGGTTAAGAGCATTGCCTGCTCTTCCAAAGGTCCTGAGTTTAATTCCCAGCAACCACATGGTGGCTTACAACCATCTGTAATGAGGTCTGGTGCCCTCTTCTGGCCTGCAGGCATACACGCAGAAAGAATATTGATTACATAATAGATAAATTAAAAAAAGACCTGCATTTTAAAAAAAAAGAAGTCTGATCTAATAGGCCAAACAGTGTTGTAATTAATACAGTTTCTGTGTGATTATTCAGGTCTGGGTGGCCAGGAACAAAAAAGCAGTTACACACCATTGCCTGCATTTAAGTCAATACCTTTTCCTTATAAAATATTTAAAGTGTTTAAACTGAAAGCCCAGTGGTTTATTGTTCTGTTGTTGTTATTGT